TTATATATATATATATATATATATATTATATATAGTATATATATATATATATATATATATATATATATTATATTATATATTATATATTATTACACGAGTTCATATGTAGTAAAGGTTTTTCATTTATAACATTACCAAGAGCATTATATTATAGGAGACCTGACTTCAAATGGAATGTCAAAATACCCGTATTTTAAAACTGGTAAAATTGGGATACTGGGCAACTGAGAGGTAGTTATGGTGTGGCTAATTTTATTCTATTACATAGGAAATACAGTCTTGCAAACACTGGAGGAAACAAAAAGATTTAACTAAAGTGCTGTGGGATGGTTGCTGTGGAGGAGGATGTGGGGAAGGAAGAAGGGAAGATTGGTTATGGTGAAAGAGGAAGAGGAAGGTTGTTTGGCTAGGGTTGTGAAAGAGGAAGAGGAAGGTTGTTTGGCTAGAGTTGTGAAGGAGGAAGAGGAAGGTTATTTGGCTAGGGTTGTGAAAGAGGAGAGGGAAGGTTGTTTGGCTAGGGTTGTGAAGGAGGAAGAGGAAGGTTATTTGGCTAGGGTTGTGAAGGAGGAAGAGGAAGGTTATTTGGCTAGGGTTGTGAAAGAGGGAGAGGAAGGTTGTTTGGCTAGGGTTGTGAAGGAGGAAGAGGAAGGTTATTTGGCTAGGGTTGTTGAAGGAGGAAGAGGAAGGTTATTTGGCTAGAGTTGTGAAAGAGGGAGAGGAAGGTTGTTTGGCTAGGGTTGTGAAGGAGGAAGAGGAAGGTTATTTGGCTAGGGTTGTGAAGGAGGAAGAGGAAGGTTATTTGGCTAGGGTTGTGAAAGAGGGAGAGGAAGGTTGTTTGGCTAGGGTTGTGAAAGAAGGAGAGGAAGGTTGTTTGGCTCGAGTTGTGAAAGAGGGAGAGGAAGGTTGTTTGGCTAGGGTTGTGAAAGAGGGAGAGGAAGGTTGTTTGGCTAGAGTTGTGAAAGAGGGAGAGGAAGGTTGTTTGGCTAGGTTGTGAAAGAGGGAGAGGAAGGTTTGTTTGGCTAGGGTTGTGAAAGAGGGAGAGGAAGGTTGTTTAGCTAGGGTTGTGAAAGAGGGAGAGGAAGGTTGTTTTAGCTAGGTTTGTGAAAGAGGGAGAGGAAGGTTGTTTGGCTAGAGTTGTGAAAGAGGGAGAGGAAGGTTGTTTGGCTAGAGTTGTGAAAGAGGGAGAAGGAAGGTTGTTTAGCTAGGGTTGTGAAAGAGGGAGAGGAAGGTTGTTTGGCTAGGGTTGTGAAAGAGGGAGAGGAAGGTTGTTTAGCTAGGGTTGTGAAAGAGGGAGAGGAAGGTTGTTTGGCTAGGGTTGTGAAAGAGGGAGAGGAAGGTTGTTTGGCTAGGTTGTGAAAGAGGGAGAGGAAGGTTGTTTGGCTAGGTTGTGAAAGAGGAGAGGAAGGTTGTTTGGCTAGGGTTGTGAAAGAGGGAGAGGAAGGTTGTTTGGCTAGGGTTGTGAAAGGGGGAGGAAGGTTGTTTGGCTAGGGTTGTGAAAGAGGGAGAGGAAGGTTGTTTGGCTCAGAGGTTTGTGAAAGAGGGAGAGGAAGGTTGTTTGGCTAGGTTGTGAAAGAGGGAGAGGAAGGTTGTTTGGCTAGGTTGTGAAAGAGGGAGAGGAAGGTTGTTTGGCTAGAGTTGTGAAAGAGGGAGAGGAAGGTTGTTTGGCTAGAGTTGTGAAAGAGGGAGAGGAAGGTTGTTTGGCTAGAGTTGTGAAGAGGGAGAGGAAGGTTGTTTGGCTAGAGTTGTGAAAGAGGGAGAGGAAGGTTGTTTGGCTAGAGTTGTGAAAGAGGAGAGGAAGGTTGTTTGGCTAGAGTTGTGAAAGAGGGAGAGGAAGGTTGTTTGGCTAGAGTTGTGAAAGAGGGAGAGGAAGGTTGTTTGGCTAGAGTTGTGAAAGAGGGAGAGGAAGGTTGTTTGGCTAGAGTTGTGAAAGAGGGAGAGGAAGGTTTTTGGCTTAGGGTTGTGAAAGGGGAGAGGAAGGTTGTTTGGCTAGAGTTGTGAAAGAGGGAGAGGAAGGTTGTTTGGCTGAGTTGTGAAAGAGGGAGAGGAAGGTTGTTTGGCTCGAGTTGTGAAAGAGGGAGAGGAAGGTTGTTTGGCTAGAGTTGTGAAAGGGGAGAGGAAGGTTGTTTGGCTAGAGTTGTGAAAGAGGGAGAGGAAGGTTGTTTGGCTAGAGTTGTGAAAGAGGGAGAGGAAGGTTGTTTGGCTAGAGTTGTGAAAGAGGGAGAGGAAGGTTGTTTGGCTAGAGTTGTGAAAGAGGGAGAGGAAGGTTGTTTGGCTAGAGTTGTGAAAGAGGGAGAGGAAGGTTGTTTGGCTAGAGTTGTGAAAGAGGAGAGGAAGGTTGTTTGGCTAGAGTTGTGAAAGAGGGAGAGGAAGGTTGTTTGGCTAGGGTTGTGAAAGAGGGAGAGGAAGGTTGTTTGGCTAGAGTTGTGAAAGAGGGAGAGGAAGGTTGTTTGGCTAGAGTTGTGAAAGAGGGAGAGGAAGGTTGTTTGGCTAGAGTTGTGAAAGAGGGAGAGGAAGGTTGTTTGGCTAGGGTTGTGAAAGAGGGAGAGGAAGGTTGTTTGGCTAGGGTTGTGAAAGAGGGAGAGGAAGGTTGTTTGGCTAGGGTTGTGAAAGAGGGAGAGGAAGGTTGTTTGGCTAGGGTTGTGAAAGAGGGAGAGGAAGGTTGTTTGGCTAGGGTTATGGAGGAGGGAGAGGGAAAAGAAGAGCTGTTTGCTTAGTATTATTTATACAAAGGAAAAAAAAGAGAAACTACTCATTTGCTACATTCATTCCTGATATCTAAAGTAATTATGGTGACACTCCAGAAAATACAACTTTTCATTCAGAAAGCCAGATTATGACTGCCAGCTTCTCACAGGACGCGGATGACTTCTGAAACTCACAAGATTTCAGAAAATCTGTTTACAACACTATTATTACTGGAAACAAAACTGAAACATTACTGATTTTCTTTATATTCGATTTTGTCTTAATGTCTTGAAAATGTCATGAGAATCAAAGAGTTAAGGAAACTGATGGTAAAAGAATGACAGATAAGGTACATCATCAAAAAAGACGGCACATTAAAGATAAAAGTGACTTTAACTTACAAAAGCTACAAAAAATAAGGTGAGAATATTTTGAATCTATGTGATCCCGACAGAAAATGCGTCATTAAATATATTTCGCTAAAGAGTATTCGACCAAATTCTTTTTTAAGCATATTCAAATGTTAGAGTTTTTAAAACCATGATTAGTAGTTAGTTTAGCATTTAGTGTTAATTTATTAGTTTTGCGCTTTAAAAACATGCGTTCGAAGTAAGTAATTTTGGAGAAGAGAACTGAAATATATTACATATATTAATTTCTGAGAAAATGACCTGAATTAATCTGAATAGACAACTGACGATGGTCATCCGAAAACAAATAGTGAGTGATATGCATTTACAGTTAGCCTTTATTTTTAACGCTTTTCCTTAGGAGGCAACGCTGGGGGATTGGATGCCTTTTTGGTAAGATAATACTTTTGAACATCGATGCGCTGCTCGGGTTTCTCTTGTTTACTAAGATTCGGCTGTAAAGGCAAATTGTTCGATCTTTCAGGGTCTGCTGGTAAGGAAGTTCTCATAGGGTGATGAGGCAGTACCTTCGCTGACATTCGGTGTGCGTCGTGGATGTCTTCTCTCTCAGGACGTAATTCGATGAAATCGTCGTCGTCGTCTTCGTCTTCAGGTCTTGTCAGTGACTCGGTACCTTTCTGCTTTCCCTGTTCCGATGGAACGGAAGCAACTGTGAAGTCCTCTTTTCCATCAGGACTTAATTCAGAGAGTTCTTTCTCTTGTGGGTTATCATCACTGTCTGTCATGATCTCCTCCGATGCCATGGTCGGTTCTTGAGCTGCAGTGACCTGTGGTACTGTTTTGCTCTTGTCTTCTGGTTTCACTTTCTCCTCCAGGTAGTCGTTTACGTCAATATCTGAATCTTCATCTTTCTTGATCTCTTCACTGTCTTCCGCTATGTCTTTCATCTCGACGTCTTTAATATCCTTTCCCGCATTATCGTCGAATGGTACGTTACTTTGCTCCCCAACCTTCCCTTTGTTATTGTTTTCCCCTTCTTCGTCGTCAACAACGTCAATATCGTCTTCTGTTTCTTCTTTAACAATCTTCTGAACTTCGTCTCCCAATTCTGGACGTCTGTGCACATTGGGTTTAGTTTCATCATTGACATTCTCCTCTGGATCTTCGGGATTTTCAGAGAATTTCACTTTCGTCTTGTCACTTATGTCATCTTCTGACGGAAGTTGGCGATAACTCAACATCTTTGGCGCACTGTAAGATTCTTCTTCATCTTCTACGTAGGGAACAGCAATGGATCCTCTTTGCACCCTGGTTGACGATGGTGATCCCTCTTCCTTAGATAACTGATCCTGGAAACAGAAATGTATCTCAAGATCAAGGAAATTTCTTGCCTCTGTGTGTGTGTGTGTGTGTGTGTGTGTGTGTGTGTGTGTGTGTGTGTGTGTGTGTGTAACTGGAACAAATGTCATTAAATAATACAAAATAAACACTTATTGATTAAATGAGATCTTCCTTTGGATGCTGAAGGAACAAGGGGAAGAACTCAGCTATTAAGTTTGGATAAAATTTAAGTTTACAATAAAGTACATTAGATGAAAAAGAAAACGGTCGTGTGCCACTGTATAAGATACAGCCGAGCATAGAAAATGTCTGTTTCATTAACCAGTGAACATAGCAACATTTTTGGTAAACCACACTAGGAAAAAATGGGTGAGGCTTCCGAAGAGCATTTACTTACTGCATACACAAAGGATAGGAATACAATAATAACCCCATAAGGGTTATCTAACACCTTGGTAACGGGAGGTGAGGTATTCTTTAAAAGAATCAAGTCGCTTCACTCTGCTGTCCTCTCAGATCCTTTCTAGTCATCGTGCTGATGGATGCAGTTGGTGCTGACGATTGTTGTTGGAACTGGTACTGGTGATTGTTGTTGCAGCTGGTGCTAACGATTGTGGTTGCAACTTGTGCTGACGATTGCTGTTGCAGCGAGTGGTGATGATTGCTGATGTAGCTGGTGCTAATGATTGCTTTTGCAGCTTGAGCGGACGATTGTTGTTGCAGCTGGTGATGACAACCGTTGATGCAGCTGGAACTAACGATCGTTGTTGCAGCTGATGCTGACGATTGTTGTTGCAGCTGGTGCTTACTATTGTTACAACTAGTGCTATTGTTATCGGTGCGGTTGGTGCTACTTATATATTGTTGCAGCTCTCGTTATTGTTTTTGCAGCTGCAACTGTTTGTTGCTAGAGCTGTTGTTGCTGACTGTTGCTGCAGCTGGTGCTTACTGACTATTGTTACACCTATTGCTGATTGTTGTTCCAGAAGGTGCTACTGACTAGTTGCAGCTGGTGCTATTGACTGTTATTGCAGCTGGTGTTTTCAATACTGAGGCAGTTGGTGCTATATATATTTTATATATATATATATATATATATATATATATATATATATATATATATATATATATATATATATATATATATATATATATATATATATATATATATTAACTTCTGACATTTCTTAGAACACATTTTTACCGACTAATTTAAAACGTCATTGCTTTCAGGAAACTTCCTTGCATTTAACTCTTTTACCTGGAATTTACCTGCACAGGGTTTCGGGGGTTAACGCCCCCTCGGCTTGGTTTGAGACCAGGCCTCAGGATTTTTTTAGTATGTTAGTGTTTGATTAGATCTTGTTTATTTGTTGTGATATGATTTTTAAACATTTAAAATTTTTAAACCTGACTAATAGTTGCTGAAGATCGTAACGCCGAAACAAAGACAAGGCTGCAGAAGATGCCTTTTATTGGGCAACATGTTGACATTCAACTGCGACGTTTCACTCATAATGCAAGGCAGGTGCAATACTAATATACATAAACATTGAATATGGTCATTCAAACAAGTTACTCAATACATTCATTTATTTCAGACAAAAATGAAAGAAAATATGAAATTAATGACTCATAAAATATAAATACGAATAGGAAGATGTTGAACAAAACATATAAGTTCACGCAGGGATACTGAACACAACACAAAGTTCATTCGTTGCCATTTTAACAGTACTTGATATATAACTTAAATTGAATTGAACGAAGACTTTGATAAGTTAGTTCTTATAATTAGAAGGAGAGAGAGAGAGAGAGAGAGAGAGAGAGAGAGAGAGAGAGAGAGAGAGAGAGAGAGAGAGAGAGAGAGAGAAATAATAGTAATAATAATAATAATAATAATAATAATAATAATATAATCAAACTAAGTGCTAAACAGAGAGAGAAACAAGGGAACGATAGATTGACATAGTAATGTTACTATTACCAAAAAATTGAAAAAATATTGTATCCAAGTGCCATTTCCGAACGCCGGCGAAAATATTATCCAAAGATCGTTACCGAACGCAGAAAATTTTGATCAAATTAAAGGCGATCATAAAAGTATGATTTTCCGATGTTAACATTATTTATCAAACTAATATTGTTAGGACTTATGAGCACTCTAAACTCCATTAGAATATTTATATAGCTGTGTATTAGAATGTGTCGTGTATATATATATATATATATATATATTATATATATATATATATATATATATATATATATATATATATATATATATATATATATATAATGTCGTGCCCAATAGGCAGAACTTGTGATCTTGGCTTAAATAGCAACGCTCATCTTGCCATATAGGACAAGTGAAAATTTGTGAATGCAATAATTTCGCCAAAATCATTCTGAACCTAACGAAAAAAATATATTTCATTGTGTTTGTTTAGTATTAAATTATTGTAAACGTATCTAAAATATATTTAGTTGGGCTAGGCTAAAATAAATTGTTCTTGTTATAATAAGGTTAGGTAAGTTTTCTAAGATTCTTTTGGTGCAAAATTATAAATTTTTACATTAACATTAATGAAAAATATATATCTTTAAACGTATAAGAGAAAATTTTAGAAAGGATTTAATTTTAAATGAGTTCTTGCTAATTGACCAGTTTTGCATATTCGGCACGACTATATATATATATATATATATATATATATATATATATATATATATATATATATATATATATATATATATATATTATATATATATATATATATATATATCAAATATTAGTTTAAGTTCATGTTATTAATTACTATAATTCTGACATGTGTCATTGCCAGTTCATTGCAGATGAATACGATAATACGGATCTGTGTGTACGTTGTGGCGTGTGTGTGCATTTGCGCGCTCGCGCACACACACACACACACACACCCACACACACACACACACACACACACACACACACACACACAGATCTAGCGGGCAATGAGGGGCAGCTCCTGGGTTCGCCAAGAGCTGGTCCTTAGTAATATATTCACAGAAATGGAATTAGCCCACGAGGGTGGTTCAGTGCAGCACCTGCAGCAGAGCATAAAATTTTCACGTTAGGCTTACTAAATTCCTGAGCCTCCATTGTTTCTGTGATTAGTTTCAACCGTTTCTGTTCCCTGTCCTCTAAATTTGGATGCATCTTCAGAAATTAGATTAGTCGAGGGTATCCTGTAGTTCGACCTCTAGCGCACTCACCTCACACACTGAGGTTCGGGTTTCGAATCCCCGGCACGGCTGGAAAACATTAGGGACGTGATTCCATAAGACACCTGCTGTCCCTGTTCACCCATCAGTATAAAATAGGTACCTAGGTGTTAGTCTACTGATGTGGGTCGCATCCTAAGACAAAAACTGACTTAATTTACCCGAAATGCTCTGCATAACTAAGGGCTTTCTATATAGTAGTATGTCATTGATATCAGCTAGGACTGTATACCTTGTACATGTACTTGTATAAATTAAGATATTATTGTTGTTTGTGTCTGTGAGTGGAGATCACATCTGGCTCTTCCTGCTCTGGCTTTTATCTTAGCTTACAGAATTTGTTTGATATTATGTTAATTATCTGAGCTTACAGAATTTGTTTGATATTCTGGTATTATGTTGTAAAATACAATTGGTGTTTACTCAGTTCATTTAGTATCTAATTTTCCAAGGAAGGAAAGAGGAATAATAAGGGATGGGAAAACGGAAGGACTATGGGGCAAGGGTAAGGAAAGAGTCATCATGTAGAGTGAAGGCGTGGCTGATGAGAGGGGGTGGTGGTGGTGGTGGTGGTGGTGGTGGTGGTGATGGTGGTGGTGATGGTGGTGATGGTGGTGGTGGTGATGGTGGTGATGGTGGTGGTGGTGATGGTGGTGATGGTGGTGGTGGTGGTGGTGGTGATGGTGGTGATGGTGGTGGTGATGGTGGTGGTGGTGGGTGGTGGTGGTGGTGATGGTGGTGGTGATGGTGGTGATGGTGGTGGTGGTGATGGTGGTGATGGTGGTGGTGGTGATGGTGGTGATGGTGGTGGTGGTGATGGTGGTGATGGTGGTGATGGTGGTGGTGGTGATGGTGGTGATGGTGGTGATGGTGGTGGTGGTGATGGTGGTGATGGTGGTGGTGGTGGTGGTGGTGATGGTGGTGGTGGTGGTGGTGATGGTGGTGGTGGTGGTGGTGGTGATGATGGTGGTGGTGGTGATGATAGTGGTGGTGATGATGACCTGACACAGGTCATATTGACCTGACACAGGTCAATATGAGATAATGTCCCGTAACTGACTAAGCATCCACTGCACTACCACTGCCAGGATTTATCCCTTGTGGGTGCTAGGCGATGTGTATCAATATTGGCAGCCAGGACTGAGGGATTATTTTGTAGAGACTGAGGGGAAGAAACGGGGTGAAGTGCAATAGGCATGGAGAGAGGGAGTAATCATTGGAGTTAAGAGGTAATGGGAATCAGTGGGCAGGTGGTCAAGAGACAGTGTGGTGGATTTTTTTATGGCAATGAAATATGGTAAAATTGTTGGCAGAAAGAAAGCAGGGTGGGCGGGTGTTGATGGAAGAAATGGAAGGAGGAAGAGACAAGGTGGAAAGGAATAGAAGACTGTCCGGTAGGGATGGAAAAAAATTAAAGATTCAGTTAGTAACAAAGATTTGCTTGAAATTATATTTAGATGGAGGGAATGTCAAAGGTATATAGATCTTTGTATGCTTATCAAGGGTAGACGCAGAGTTGTTAGAGGGTAGACGCAGTGGGGGCAAATGAAGAGGACAGATTTTCATATACTGTCAGAGAGATTACTGGAAACAGAATTGTTTTGATGGCTGACCTGGGATATAGCGACACTCCTTCCCTATGTACCACTCCACTCTGTTCGTGCACTCTGCATCCTCTTTCAGTATTTCCATCCCCATATTTTCTCTTGTTCCTAGTCACTCTTGATCTGTGCTGTCCCTTCTTAGGTAGACACTGCATACTGCGGAATTCTTTGTATTCTTTCTTGAAGCTATCTCTCTGCTGGGTTTATATTTTGCATTTGATCACTACATGTCCTTACCTTTCTTTTTTTTTCTTTTTGTTCAAGAATATTATACTTGGACTTTGGTAAACCATTAAGTATTTGTTCCTTTCTCAACACATCGCTCAAAAGAATACTTTAAAATTTTTGAAACTTGTTCATAGTGTGTGTGTGTGTGTGTGTGTGTGTGTGTGTGTGTGTGTGTGTGTGTGTGTGTGTGTGTGTGTGTGTGTGTGTGTGTGATAAGATAAGATTTCGTTCGGATTTTTAACCCCGAAGGGTTAGCCACCCAGGATAACCCAAGAAAGTCAGTGCGTCATCGAGGACTGTCTAACTTATTTCCATTGGGGTCCTTAATCTTGTCCCCCAGGATGCGACCCACACCAGTCGACTAACACCCAGGTACCTATTTGCTGCTAGGTGAACAGGACAACAGGTGTAAGGAAACGTGTCGAAATTTTTCCACCCGCCAGGAATCGAACCCGGGCTCTCCGTGCGTGAAGCGGGAGCTTTAGCCACCAGACCACCGGGCCACCGTGTGTGTGTGTGTGTGTGTGTGTGTGTGTGTGTGTGTGTGTGTGTGTGTGTGTGTGTGTGTGTGTGTGTGTGTGTGTGTGTGCGTGCGTGTGTGCGTGCGTGTGTGTGTGTGTGTGTGTGTGTGTTTGTGTAAGTACTCACCTAATTGTAGTTGCAGGGGTCGAGACTCAGCTCCTGGGCCCGCCTCTTCACTGAACGCTACTAGGTCCTCTCTCTCCCTGCTCCATGAGCTTTATCATACCTCGTCTTAAAGCTATGTATGGTTCCTGCCTCCACTACATCACTCGCCAGACTGTTCCACTTCTTGACCACTCTATGACTGAAAAAATACTTCCTAACATCCCTGTGACTCATCTGAGTCTTCAGCTTCCAAGAGTGACCCCTTGTTTCTGTGTCCCCTCTCTGGAACATCTTGTCTCTGTCCACTTTGTCTATTCCACGCAGTATTTTGCATGTTATCATGTATCCCCTAACACTCCTGTCCTCCAGTGTCGTCAGGCCGATTTCCCTTAACTTTTCTTCGTAGGACACTCCCCTTAGCTCTGTGTGCGTGTGTGAAAGAGAGATAGAGGAAGAGAGAGACATAGTGAAAGAGTCTCTTACTCGCTCACAAATTTACATTAACTATTAACACTGATTCCCAAATTGTTCTGAATTATTGAGTTTTTTTTTCAGGTACTGACTGGAAAACGTTTCTATTTATTCCTGACATTCGTTGATCCTGGGTATATACCGGCCGAAAACCTCTTGTGATTCAGTGGCATCTATGTCCTGAACACTCTCATGCAAATCCTTACTCATTTTCAGATACACTGGAGGAGACTTCTGACGAGCTGATGCTGTCCAAGCTGTTGCCTAGTAGCTCTTCAACACATGGGACAAGACTGATGTCTATTGCACGATTTAAAGCATCGAGGCTAATGTCCTCACCAGTACATGTTAAGTCATACTTATCACTTCCAGAAGAAACATCATCTTCCCTTACCCCAGTGGAAGCCACATCATCGCAACACTCGTTAGTAAGACCTTCTCTCCCATTACTAAAATATGAGACATTACCGCAATACTCGTTAGCTTCGTCCTCCTGAGGAGTAACAGCATCGGGACTGCCGTACCCAGCATCAGTATCCCTATATCTCTCAATCATTAACATGATCTCGCTAGTCTCTCCTTCCTTGCCACCGAATAGGTCCTCTTGTCTACCATATTTCCTTACCGCTTTTGTTGTTGTTGGAGAAGAAGTTGGGGAGCCGCTGATATCAAGCGTGCACTCAATGCTGCTCTCCGAGCTACTGTCTGTGGGTTGAGATGTCACTGGCTCCTCCTGAACATGGAGGGGTCAGATAAGAATCACTGTTCACAATTTTAATTTGGATTTCTCTGGTGAAGTGTCATTAATGTGCAGGCTTATGTTAAATTAGGATTCATGCAAGAGGAGAGAGAGAGAGAGAGAGAGAGAGAGAGAGAGAGAGAGAGAGAGAGTATGTCATAACAGTGAGCAACAGGATGTAATTTTTTTAGCAAAACTCTTACTGTTAGATTATTATTATTATTATTTCAGTCAAAACTAAGCGATAAACCCACAAGGCAGGCACGAGAAATTAAAACATGCAAAGTTAAGAAATTTGCGTGTGTGCGTGTTTTTATGTATCTATAGAGTTCATCCCCTTCCAAATGTCTTAATGGAAAATAAATATATATTCACATATGTCTCAAGGAAAATTTGAAGAAAAAAATCACCATAGAGAAGACAGACAGAAGAGCAGGTTGTTCAGCACACCTGATTGCCGATGGTAAGTGGCAGATTGTCATAAGATTTGTCCCATGAGAGAGGTCGCTCTCCACCAATACTACAACCGTCACCATCACCACCGTCACCATCACTACCGTCACCATCACCACCTTTTCCCTCCTTACGCACCTTCACAGCGTCCAAAGGTTCCTGTTTGGCAGCACCCACATCCTTTTCCAAGGCTTCCTTCTGCTTAGCTTCATTTTTGGTCTCCACGTTCGCCACTGGAGTCGCATTGGCAACTGTGGTGTTCCCGTGAACACGGTATATTAATGTGGGTTCACCAGTTGGTTTGTGACTGGGGTAACAAGTTGACATATGGGGAGAAAGTCACATAGCACTGCAAGTCCACGTTTCACATAGGATTGTGCTTTATCAAGCCTAGACTTGATACAGCACAATTCTGAGCGAAATGTCTTCTAAAATTAAGACTTCATTCATTCTTCAGACACTGTAATTGACTAATTAATTGTTCGAGTGCTTTCGAAATTTCAATTTCTTATATTAAGAAATTTGCTAGAGTGTATTATTAAGCCATAAAAAAAGAGAATTGAACCTGTTATTGGTCTGTCAGAGTAAAATTGCTTCGAGCTGTGATGGTACCAGAGATTTAGAGCAGATATAAGTTTGAATAAGTATTTTGGTGCGAGTAAAGAAGCTTCACTTACCTTGTATAACATCATCAGGCTCTGTCTTGGAGTTAAGAGGCATCATTTCCTTCTCAGACACCGTGAAGATTTTTTCTTTCTGGCAAGAGGAAAGTAAGATACTTTTTGAAAGGTGTCTAAAGTGTGTGTTAACAGCGGTGCACCATCACTCATACCCTTAAGCTTCCTTGCTGAAGAGGATTATGTGAAATGGTTTGAGTAAAAATGAAAAATACGATTGAAATTATCGGATAATCATTACGTTGGCAATTAACCCGATAACCCTAATAATTATGCAGCTGCTACTTCTGCTGTTTCTACTGCTCCTGCCTCTGATATTTTTTTGCTGCGGCTGCTGTTTCTGCTGCATGACACCATGTAAGGCTTAACCAGGTCAATACCATACATAGCCAACACAGCTTGAGCTTCCTAATGGCCTCACCTTATCTCTGCCATCACTGCTGCTGCCGCCATTGAAGAGAGGCACAGATTCCTCTGCATCTCTCAGTTCCTTCCGCTCTTTCCTCTTGCGGTGAGCCTTGAGAACGAGAGCGATGACGATTATCGTACAGACTAGAAAAATCGCCCCCGCTACGGCCGGCACAACTGTCAAGGAATACGGATATAATATGATTAAATCCCAACGGAAAATTACGAGAATAATATATAACAAGGATTTACTCTTCATATTAATATTATGCCTCTTCAAGTAAATCCTCTGTCTCATAACATGGAGGTAAAATTTAGTCAACCATTCCACTTCCTTAGGTTGATGTTATTTTAATGTGGGGATCGCTAAACCTGTAGAAGTCATTCAAGTAAAGGAACGGGAGATAATTAGGTTTGATCCAAGGCAAAAAATAGGGCAGCTGCAATACCTTCAATCAACAGCACTTCACAGGCAATGAGGTGTTGCTCTTGAAGGGACGCAATTAGTTTTCTTGAAGCAGTTGCTTCGCTAACACTACATAGTACATTGTTCCACACTTCCACAATTCTATGGCCAAAACTGAGATTTTCCTATATTCTATTTAAAGAAATGATTGAAGAATACCATATTTCTTATGCTTACGAGTTAAACACAAAAGCTGCAGAGCTTACCGTTGTCCATAGGTGTGTTCCTCTCTGGGTGTGTTGCAGGTACGAACTGATGTTGGTAAACGAGTCTCTGGGCTGCCCTGAAGGCCCATTCCTCTCCCATCACCTGTAGCAACAACAGTATATAAAGTGACAGGAATATATGTATGTTTATGTGAACCTGATGGTTAGAGGTCTTCGGGATACAGCCGAGCAGATTCGAACTATAGTCCATGTGGAGAGAAAGCCACTTGGAAAAGGCCTGGGCCGGGCGATTATCCCGGCGAATCTACTAACCTACCTACCCAGCGTTGCAACCGTTAAGCCACAAACCTTTCATTTGTTCAATTATAGTCGTTCATTACAACTTGGGTTTATTGACTATACGGCTGTGAGTGGTATGAGGATAGACGTGCTATGAAAGCTGTGGTTTTGGGATGATACTGTAGGATCAAAGTTGGTGCCGTTGATGCAACTGATTCACAGAGGTACTGGTGCTAAATTTATCCCGTTAGAACACTGGTGGCTGAATAGTCACAGCGTTGGGTCTGCTATCACCATTCTTCTGTTTATTCATTCTTGTATTATTATGTTTATTCATGGACAGTTATTCATTATTACTTTAATTTCCTTTATATGCATATATGTATATACGTATAGATACTGTATATGCAAAATTTCACAGTGATAATAAGCAAAGGAGATGCACTGAAGTGGGTTGGAGTTCTTGCTCCAAGACACTGAAGTTATCCTCTCCTTCGGATCAATCCCGATTTCTTCCTCTTCCTGGGCGTTTTATGGTCACTTGATGAAGGTTTCATCACAAAGCTTACTCTGCATGTCTTATGCTCCACCCTTACAGGTTTAGCACCTACTCGCTAATAACCTAATAAATGGCCGTTTCTTAACCCAGCAATTTTTTTATATTGTTATATGAGCCCAGGAACCTCTAAATTCTTAAGAAGCCGTGCAATGCCTGAGGATTAAGAGGTAATCATGTTTGATCCAAGTAATGGGAGGGTAGCTCCAGTTCCTCGGAACGAAAGCTGTTTGAGAGCTTTACGTCATCCCCCTTCAAGGAAAGCGTAAGGAATATGTGCTCACCCCCGACACGTTGAGGTCGTGACCATGAGCCATAAGAACTCCAGCAGCAGCGAACTTGGCACAGGAGCCGTAGCCAGGGACACCACTGGTCCTGAAGTGCAGGTCATTGTCACCGTACTGCTGCAGAGGCATCACCTCGATCTCAGGCGTCCGTATCTTCACATCTGCCGGAGACACAAACTGCTCGACGAAGTGTTCATATAAAGAAATTATCCAAATAAATTATATATATATATATACATTTTTTTTTCAACAAGTCGGCCGTCTCCCACCGAGGCAGGGTGACCCAAAAAAGAAAGAAAATCCCCAAAAAGAAAATACTTTCATCATCATTCAACACTTTCACCACACTCGCATATTATCACTGCTTTTGCAGAGGTGCTCAGAATACAACAGTTTAGAAGCATACACATATAAAGATACACAACATATCCCTCCAAACTGCCAATATCCCAAACCCCTCCTTTAAAGTGCAGGCATTGTGCTTCCCATTTCCAGGACTCAAGTCCGACTATATGAAAATAACAGGTTTCCCTGAATCCCTTCACTAAATATTACCCTGCTCACACTCCAACAGATCGTCAGGTCCCAAGTACCATTCGTCTCCATTCACTCCTATCTAACACGCTCACGCACGCTTGCTGGAAGTCCAAGCCCCTTGCCCACAAAACCTCCTTTACCCCCTCTCTCCAACCCTTTCGAGGACGACCCCTACCCCGCCTTCCTTCCCCTATAGATTTATATGCTTTCCATGTCATTCTACTTTGATCCATTCTCTCTAAATGACCAAACCACCTCAACAACCCCTCTTCTGCCCTCTGACTAATACTTTTATTAACTCCACACCTTTTCCTAATTTCCACACTCCGAATTTTCTGCATAATATTTACACCACACATTGCCCTTAAACAGGACATCTCCACTGCCTCCAACCGTCTCTTCGCTGCTGCATTTACCACCCAAGCTTAACACCCATATAAGAGTGTTGGTACTACTATACTTTCATACATTCCCTTCTTTGCCTCCATAGATAACGTTTTTTGACTTCACATATACCTCAACGCACCACTCACCTTTTTTCCCTCATCAATTCTATGATTAACCTCATCCTTCATAAATCCATCTGCCGACACGTCAACTCCCAAGTATCTGAAAACATTCACTTCTTCCTTACTCCTCCTCCCCAATTTGATATCCAATTTTTCTTTATCTAAATCATTTGACACCCTCATCACCTTACTTTTTTCTATGTTCACTTTCAACTTTCTACCTTTACACACATTCCCAAACTCATCCACTAACCTTTGCAATTTTTCTTTAGAATCTCCCATAAGCACAGTATCATCAGCAAAAAGTAACTGTGTCAATTCCCATTTTGAATTTGATTCCCCAAAATTTAATCCCACCCCTCTCCCGAACACCCTAGCATTTACTTCCTTTACAACCCCATCTATAAATATATTAAACAACCATGGTGACATTACACATCACTGTCTAAGACCTACTTTTACCGGGAAGAAGTCTCCCTCTCTTCTACATACCCAAACCTGAGCCTCACTATCCTCATAAAAACTCTTTACAGCATTTAATAACTTACCACCTATTCCATATACTTGCAACATCTGCCACATTGCTCCTCTATCCACTCTATCATATGCCTTTTCTAAATCCATAAATGCAATAAAAACTTCCCTACCTTTATCTAAATACTGTTCACATATATGCTTCAATGTAAACACTTGATCTACACATCCCCTACGCACTCTGAAACCTCCTTGCTCATCCGCAATCCTACATTCTGTCTTACCTCTAATTCTTTCAATTATAACCCTACCGTACACTTTTCCTGGTATACTCAGTAAACTTATTCCTCTATAATTTTTACAGTCTCTTTTGTCCCCTTTCCCTTTATATAAAGGGACTATACATGCTCTCCGCCAATCCCTAGGTACCTTCCCCTCTTTCATACATTTATTAAACAAAAGTACCAACCACTCCAACACTATATCCCCCCCTGCTTTTAACATTTCTGTCATGATCCCATCAGTTCCAGCTGCTTTACCCCCTTTCATTTTACGTAATGCCTCACGTACCTCCCCCACACTTACATTCTGCTCTTCTTCACTCCTAAAAGATGGTATACCTCCCTGACCAGTGCATGAAATTACTGCCTCTGTTTCTTCCTTAACATTTAAAAGTTCCTCAAAATATTCTCGCCATCTACCTAATACCTCCATCTCCCCATCTACTAACTCACCTACTCTGTTTTTAACTGACAAATCCATACTTTCCCTAGGCTTTCTTAACTTGTTTAACTCACTCCAAAATTTTTTCTTATTTTCATTAAAATTTCTTGACAGTGCCTCTCCCACTCTATCATCTGCTCTCCTTTTGCACTCTCTCACCACTCTCTTTACCTTTCTTTTACTCTCCATATACTCTGCTCTTCTTATAACACTTCTGCTTTGTAAAAACCTCTCATAAGCTACCTTTTTCTCTTTTATCACGCCCTTTACTTCATCATTCCACCAATCACTCCTCTTTCCTCCTGCCCCCACCCTCCTATAACCACAAACTTCTGCCCCACATTCTAATACTGCATTTTTAAAACTATTTCAACCCTCTTCAACCCCCTCCACTACTCATCTTTGCACTAGCCCACCTTTCTGCCAGTAGTCGCTTATATCTCACCCGAACTTCCTCTTCCCTTAGTTTATACACTTTCACCTCCCTCTTACTTGTTGTTGCCACCTTCCTCTTTTCCCATCTACCTCTTACTCTAACTGTAGCTACAACTAAATAATAATCCGATATATCAGTTGCCCCTCTATAAACATATACATCCTGGGGCCTACCCATCAACCTTTTATCCACCAATACATAATCTAATAAAATACTTTCATTACGTGGTACATCATACCTTGTATATTTATTTATCCTCTTTTTCATAAAATATGTATTACTTATTACCAAATCTCTTTCTACACATAGTTCAATTAAAGGCTCCCCATTTACATTTACCCCTGGCACCCCAAATTTACCTACTACTCCCTCCATAACATTTTTACCCACTTTAGCATTGAAATCCCCAACCACCATTACTCTCACACTTGATTCAAAACTCCCCACGCATTCACTCAACATTTCCCAAAATCTCTCTCTCTCCTCTACACTTCTCTCTTCTCCAGGTGCATACACGCTTATTATAACCCACTTTTCACATCCAATCTTATTTTACTTCACATAATCCTTGAATTAATACATTTATAGTCCCTCTTTTCCTGCCATAGCTTATCCTTCAACATTATTGCTACTCCTTCTTTAGCTCTAACTCTATTTGAAACCCCTGACCTAATCCCATTTATTCCTCTCCACTGAAACTCTCCCACCCCCTTCAGCTTTGTTTCACTTAAAGCCAGGACATCCAGTTTCTTCTCATTCATAACATCCACAATCATCTCTTTCTTATCATCTGCACAACATCCACGCACATCCAGACTTCCCACTTTGACAATTTTCTTCTTCTTATTCTTTTTAGTAATCTTTACAGGAAAAGGGGTTACTAGCCCATTGTTCCCGGCATTTTAGTTGACTTTTACAACACGCATGACTTACGGAGGAAAAATTCTTATTCCACTTCCCCATGGATATAAAAGGAAAAGTAATAAGACCAAGAACTATTAAGATAAAATCAAAGAAAACTCAGATGAGTGTGTATAAATAAATGTGTACATGTATGTGTAGTGTGACCTAAGTGTAAGTAGAAGTAGCAAGACGTACCTGTAATCCTGCATATTTATGAGACAGACAAAAGACACCAGCAATCCTACCATCATGTAAAACAATCACAGGCTTTAGTTTTACACTCACTTGGCAGGACGAATAGGCAGAACTTGTGATCTTGGCTTAAATAGCAACGTTCAAATTGCCATACAGGACAAGTGAAAATTTGTGTATGCAATAATTTCGCCAAAATCATTCTGAACCTAACGAAAAAAATATATTTCACTGTGTTTGTTTAGTATTAAATTACTGTAAACAAATCTAAAATATATTTAGTTAGGTTAGGCTAAAATAAATTGTTCTTGTTATAATAGGGTTAGGTAAGTTTTCTAAGATTCTTTTGGTGCAAAATTAAAAATTTTTACATTATCATTAGTGAAAAAAATATATCTTTAAACGTATAAGAAAATTTTTTAGAAAGGACTTAATTTTATATGAGTTCTTGGTAATTGACCAGTTTTACATATTCGGCACCACACACACACACACACACACACACACACACACACACACACACACATACACACATACATACATACATACATACATACTACATATATATATATATATATATATATATATATATATATATATATATATATATATATATATATTATATATATATATATATTTATATATCATGCTGAATAGGTAAAACTTGCTATTTTGGCTTAAATAGCAACGCTCTTCTTGCCGAATAAGGCAAGCGAAAATTTGTGTATGCAATAATTCGCAAAAATCTGAACCTAACGAAAAAAATATATTTCACTGTGTTTGTTTATTATTAAATTATTGTAAACTTATTTAAAATTTATTTAGTTTGATAAGGCTAAATTAAATTACACTAGGTATAAAAAGATTAGGTAAGTTTTCTAAGGTTCTTTTGGTACAAAATTATTAATTTTTACATTCACACAAATGAAAAAAAAATATATCTTTAAACTTACAAGAGAAAATTTTAGAAAGGACATAAGTATTAATGAGTTCGTGATAATTGATCAGTTTTACCTATTCGGCACGACATTATATATATAATATATATATATATATATATATATATATATATATATATATATATATATATATATATATATATATATATATATATATATATATAACCGGGCTAAAATAACACTGGTTCGAACCCCGGCTAGCTGCAGTTTGTTAATGCATAAAAACCACTAGTTCGTGATTTTGCGGTTCATCTTACTGGAAATGCATCCGTGGAAGTTATCATATCGACCCAGGCGATCGTCGATGCCTGCCTCGACTCCCCCCAGGTAGAGGCCCGTGGGCGTGGTCTTGACATTTGTCTCGCTCACGATGTTTCGTAACTGCAGCACATCTCGCTCCTCCCCGTCAACCTGCAAAGCACGAGCCCATATTGACGCTTCAACACTTGACAAGATAAAAGATGCGTTACAATATCGTGGATGAAACTATTTTCCAACTAGTCAACGTTGTGGAAGTAAAATAGATGATGATTTGGACCCCCTTCTCAGCTCACCTCCTGGAGAGCGAAACATTGCCATTATACTAACTTGATCATTGTCTGTGACAAACCGAAGCACATTTTTCCATGTTCTTCTCTTTGATAATGTTTATATAATATTACTTCGGTATGATGATAATAAAAAGGCACAAAACCGTGACTGCAACATATTTTTTTAAATAGGGAGAGCTGTATGACTCTTGTGGGTTTAGCGCTTGGTTTTGATTATAATTACAAATATGTAAAGATCATTAAAATCTATAATGATAATTACTGAAATTAAAGAAAAATCTTCACGAGTAATTTTTGATCTAATTTGAATATTTTTAATGAGAAATGACTGGTTTAAATTTTGAACAATCTAAAAAAAATCATACAAATTGTGAAGTTATGGCCAGAAACTACATAAAATACACCAGTTTCAACGGCGGCTGTCGTGGATTTTCGTAAATTATTAATTCTGCCATGTTTTCATTTATTTGCCCCTGTATCATGGACCCTCAATAATAATATATACTCCCAAAAATAGTCTACCAACACTTTCGGATTCACCAGTAAACTGATTAGGTGAATATCAGACTACAATAGATTTAATCACAGAGGCATCAAGAGAAATGGCCAGATGTGGTCAAGCATGGCACGCAAGCTGGACGAGACTTGTATACTTATTCAGCATATCTCGCTGAGATAATATCCAGGAAAAGAGGTAAACCTTGCAAGCTGCAGTGAATGAGCAACCAGCCTTGCCCAGCATGAGCAGCGAGAGTAGAAAAGCATTCGAAAGCCTTCAAAGGCACATCAGCGCTGTATAGCCCTTGTGGCTTAGCGCTTCTTTTTGATTATAATAATAATAATTCAAAGGCACATCAGAAGTATACGAACCTCATTTGGCTGGCTCGGCTGCGTGTTAATATACTTTGCGTTGTTGTTCCTACCTTTATCGTCATCCCGTGCCTTGACTTCTCCGCGATAACGAAGTGTCTGTAGCCATCAAAGGCATTGAAGTTGTGGGCAGAGGGGTCGACCTCGGTGCCTAGGATCATGCCCTTACCCAGGTCAGACAGCTGAGTCTCCATCAGGAGGGAACCATCAGGCTCAATGGACACCAAAAAGTAGTCGTGGGCTGTTCTGAAGAAGTAGGTCGTTAACATTGGCTCTCTATTACGAGTAGCGGGAATAACAATATACCTCAGGAATATCTAGATAAGTTTTATAGGATGTAAGTCACTAGACCGTAGTCGGTACAACTTGCATTAATAATAATTTATTATATTTACTACTGTATTATAATTATCGTCATTATTGGTGGTGATCCTGTTTGATAAAGAAATAAGAGGGAAGCTCCAATTCACTGGATCGAGACCTGTTCTCGAGAAGCAAGGCATTCCTTGTAGGGAAAGAGATTAATAAATGGCAGTAAAAGAAATAGAAGACTATAGGTAAACAAGAGCTGTTGATCCGAATTGATGGAGCCACCCTCCCTTTTCCAAAGGATAAAAAAAAAATGCAAAAACTGATGCAGACATACTGGAGGTCAGTGGAGCGCAGGAGAGCTACCAGCTGCGGCCGTGAGTGTCTAGTGGAGGCAGAGAAAGCCATCTCGAACCTGAAGTCCTTTTTGATAGGCGACGTTGCTGAATCTTGACTGATCCACTGACGCCCAGAGAAAGTGTATGCCGTCTCTGCCAGCCCAAGAATACGAGCGTTACTCTAGCAAAATCATTCTGTCGACATTACTGAAGAAGAGAGACAAGCGTAGAGAGAGCTTTTATTGTGGCAACATTTCACCTTGTGTCGAGCTTTATCAAGTCAGTGTGCGTGCTGACTTGATACATTTCTACACAGAGGGAGGAAACGTCGCAATAAAAGATTGTTCTTCATCTGTGTCTTCTCTTCAAGAGTATTAAGTAATGTCTTATTCAGACTAAATCTCGCATGAACTTTTGTTTACACAGTTAAATAGTGCTAGTCTTTGTTTTGATAAAAACGTTTATAATGGGAACACTAGTAGGAACGGACATTGATGGGAACATCCTGATGGGAACACACTGATGGGTACACACTGATGGGTACACACTGATGGGTACACACTGACGGGAACACCGCGAGAAGTCACACTGAGTCTTTCAATACTAATTAGTTTAAGTTTAATTTGCATAATATCTCTGGTGTTCCTAGGCTTCCCATAGCTTCTCTGGACAGATACACAAGTATAGAGAAGGTGGAGAAAATGGTACTTAGATGCCAGTATTTAACAATCACTGTATCAGGTCTTACTGGCCTGAGAATGCGATTGTATTGGCGAAACCTCATTAATAAAGAAATAAATGGCATCCAAGTGTTATTTACTCCACCTTTGCTATACGAATCATGGCAACAGATATGAAATATGATGATAATGCCTAGCGTTATGAAATATAGAAGGGACTCACAGATAAGGACCCACTAGGGGCGAGGGGGAAGTGGGAACTACACAGAAGAGTTGAAAACTAATGAATAATTATTTACTTTATAAAAAATGCTCTGAAAAATTATATAAAAAACATGTTTAAGAATAATAATATTGAATCTTTGTAGAAAGTTAATTTAGTCTACTTTCTAGAGAAGGAGTTAAATTTAGGAGAGTGTTGTAAATGAATAACAATGAACGTAACGAACGTAATCTTTGACTAATAAAAATGTGGATTGTAGAAACTGTCTCCTCCACCAATAACTTTAGCAAATCGTGATAAGTTTAATTGAAAATAGTTAAAAGAAATGGTTGTCTTTGCTGGTAATATTCAGGAAAATATGGATGTAGGATGTAGCAGGTGTTCTCGGTTATACTATACAGGTCCACACAACGCAAACAATGCCTACTTGTGTTTTTGATGTATGTTGGAGATAATGGTGTAGAACAAACCAATGTTCATCACAAATACGTAAAATATCCATGTGGCAGGTATGTGGATGTTGGACATACGTTTCCTTTTCTTTCAATTTAAGTATGACGAAGGGAGTGATTAAACTGCAGCTGGAAACAGCATTGATAGAGTAATTTCAAGTACGCCACGTGTATATTTACCCCCTTGAAAGTTTACTTATAGGCACTGCAGGTGCTCAACCAGCACTGCAGATAGGGCACAGCACTGCAGGTAGGGTATACCTTCTCCAGTGTACTTACCAATAAATATTCCAGGTGTCACATCGTGTCCATACAGTGTACTCACCAGCACTACAGGTTGGACCCGTGTAGGACGTGCCCACACAGTCACACTGAAAATTGTTGAAGTAGTGGAAGTCTTCAGTACAGATGCCATTGTTGAGGCATGGATGGTGGTCACATGCCATCGTGCAGTTCATTTTGATGCCATCCACTGCTTCCAGACATCAAGGAAGAAACAAGCGTGATTAGATGAGGCAGATGTGGTTGAATTACATAGATGGCGACCAATGAAAAGCAAATGGGTGAGTCACAAGTGGTCGAGTTAGACAAACATAGATATTTTCAGAATTTGAAGAAAAAAAACTACAACCTGCATATACTGATATGGCATATTGATTTTGTTAATTTTGAGAAAGTAAACTCCCATACACTCAATATAGTGTTTGATGAATTGGACACTTTAGGAACATATTGGAATATTAATAAAGATTCCCATATGTTGCAAAGTGTTTAATTCTTCGACTTTTCGATTTTCTAAATCATTTATATCACAAAGTACTTGAATACTCTTCTGGGTAGGTGGATTCTCTCCCAGGAACGTGAACACTCACCTGGGTATGTGGAATTGAGGTAGAAGTCGGTGAGTGACACGAAACTTGAACCAATTTTGAGGCCCCTGATGCAGCCCTCTATACCAGGGATGGATGAGTGTACATCGTACTGTATGTCGTTGGCTGAGCCAAGATATACCTGAGAAAAACAGCAGTTAGATGAGATCTTAGGTGTTAGCTGCACCTGCTTACCATAGGACGTACACACACACGGTAATCCATACAAGGTGATATACAGAACACCAAGAGGCATCTATTTCTTAGTGTATATTACTTGGAGTTTAATTTCTATTTTAGGGAGCAGAGAATCAACGACTATTACTGGACAGGTTACATGCAGCCTAATGAAGTATATGGAGCGCTGTTTAAATCTTCTTCATTTAGCTCTTATTGATAATAATAATAAATAAAAATAATAATGACCCTGACATAGTTAAGCTTTAAACCTAATAAACCAACCCATCCATCTGACACACTCGAAAATATTCAGTTAAGATACAGAACCTTCAGGGAACAATAGAGAGCATTTACCTGGAAGAAATTCATGGGTTTGGTGGGAGAGTGTGGGTAGCGCACTATCTCAGGGAGAGGTTGGCTGCTTCCGAAGGGTAGCTGCTGGTACTCATTGTCCTGAAATAGCCGCACACCAGCATCGACAGATGCGTTGAAGAAGACACCGTTGGTGAGGATGCGCATGCTGGTGGAACTGGAGGTACGTTCCACTGACAGCTGCACAGACTGTCCCTTGTTAAACACCACTGTATGTAAAGGGTACATCAGCATTTGAGAGCGTTCATAGCCGTTGGGGTACATGCGTTCGAGTGAATATATGCTGCCAGCATGAATACGTATTCATCTGTACATGTGTGTGTTCGAGTGCATGCATTTTTTGGCGTGTGTGTTGGTTCTATCACATCATGTTCTCTTTAAATTTCGCCTTAACTAAAATAAATTAACACCAGTGGTGTATTTAAAAATCCAGGTCAGTGGTTTCCAACCTTTTCGAGATGGTAATAATAATAATATTAATAATAATAATAATAATAATAGAAACCTTTCCGAGTACAAGGAGTTTATATCTCTCACCCCAACAAGTTAATAGCTGTAATAACAAAAAACTATTAAGAATTTAGTAATAATCATGTGTGCCTTGGAAATAACTTAGCAGCCTTCCACGGGGGTCTGAGCTCCACAGGTCTTGAGACAGCCGCTCTAGGTGTTCAAAAAAAAAAAAAAAAAACTTTGTGATTGAGCTTTTTCCCAAATAATATTGACGGCTGCATCTAAAATTTAGGTTATAAAAAACGAGAATATGTTTATGTTTCAGACCATAAAAAACCTGGTATTTAAATTACAACATAAACGCAACATAAAATCTGGCCACGAAAATAATTCTCTAATTTTACAAGCCCGTCTTCGGATTCTTAAGTCAGTTATTAATAAAAAAAACATTAGAAATAAAATTAGTAATTGCAGCATAAATATACGAGTTTATGAGAAAAAAAAAACAATGGGCCTTTCTTCCAGACATAAATATCATAAGTATTTGCATAAATCATAAGATGCGATCCCTGATCCAGCAGCTTTACGTCTGTAGATAAATCAGAAGAAAAGCTCTTACGAAGTTGCAAGAACTGTATGTATGATGTTGCAAGAACTGTATGTATGATGTTGCAAGAACTGTATGTATGATGTTGCAAGAACTGTATGTATGATGTTGCAAGAACTGTATGTATGATGTTGCAAGAACTGTATGTATGATGTTGCAAGAACTGTATGTATGATGTTGCAGAACTGTATGTATGATGTTGCAAGAACTGTATGTATGATGTTGCAAGAACTGTATGTATGATGTTGCAAGAACTGTATATACGTATGTGTGATGTGTTTGGTGGCAACGCTATCCTGTTGAATACTGACTTATACATTTTGATAGAATTCTGCTTAAGCATATATGTAAAATAACTAATATATTAATCCTTTGATTAGAGGATTTTTTATATCACCTATTACTTAGAAAAAATTTAGAAGATTTATACAATCAGTTCAGCGTTGAAATAAATATAAGAGAGTGAAGTTGTATGAAATCTAGTGTTGATTGTAATATCAGCATTAGTTAAGTGTTTATAAAATATCTTCAGTTTCTACCTTCATAATAGTGCAATACACACACACACACACACACACACACACCACACCACACACACACACACACACACCACACACACACACACACACACACACACACACGAAAACAAATAAAACAACCAGTAACCCCAGTTTATGGAACACTGACCACCGCTGTCAGCTGTCACCATGACCCGTTTGATTTCATAGCCATAGTTGAAGAGGAACACCACCTCGTTCTCCTGTGCCAGGTACAACTGAATGAAGTTGTGCAGGGAGTCGTAAGCGAAGAGGATGAGCCCCGTCTTAGAGTAAGTCCGGAAGTTGATAAGGAAGCTCTTCGTAAGCAGGTTATTTTCTCCAAGTTTGTTTATGTCGTTAGTGAAGTATTTCAACTTGGATTCCAATGTGGTAAAGGTAAGAGCATCCTCGTTGATGTCTGCAAATGCGATAGTATACGTAAATAAAAATTTTATACATAGATACGGTAAGTCGAGAAATGAGACACATATGTTGCATAAGTGTCTCATTTATCACACATTGATATGACTATTAGAGGCCGTCAGTAGGTAAAGAGGGTGTCCAGCAGCCCGAGTTTTTCTCCGGGAGTAGAAAAACTCTGAGAACTCATTAAAGATAAAAGCATATCAACATTTGCTCAACTTTAACTCCCTGTGCCTCAAGAATCATTGTTTGGTGGACAATATCTGTTCATGAACTGTCTCAGAAAAATACTGCATATCTTATATCTCTGTTTTATAGAAAATCAAATTTGTACTTACTAATTTCACAGTGCCTGCCGGAATGAGCGAAGGGATTCTTACAGACACACTCGTATGATCCCCAGTTTTCAGTGCACAATGCACCGTTCTTGCAGGGATTGGGTTCACAGGAGGGCGTGCAGCCAGAACTGACTCCATGAGCCGAAGCCCTGACGAATGCCTTCAGGTCCACCAGCTCATCATTAAGGGCCAATCCACGGATACAACCCACGAGTCCCTCCAGTCCATCCTTCTTGTCTTCCTCAGTAAGGAATTGCCTGAGAAGAAAGAAGCATAAGAAGAAAAATACAAAGAAAAAATCCTAGATGCATACAGACTTAAGAATTATAAATGACTGGTATATTTGGACGGAATGCTGGAAAAACCATCACAGTAATGCATGAACCACCAAGATTTTAAGAACAGGTAATTATAATACTATTAATTTACAATTTATCACATTAATTTTTAGAACTATGCCATGTGAAATTGTAAATCCAGTGAGATTTCTATATGCTGCTTCAGTGCGAATACCCGAGCTAAAGTATTCTCACTACAAAATTCGCCTTGTTTACTACTGACCAGTTACTTGCTTATTTTCTGTCCTTATAGCAGTCTCCCTTCCATACAGTTGTGTGTGTGTGTGTGTGTGTGTGTGTGTGTGTGTGTGTGTGTGTGTGTGTGTGTGTGGGTAGCTACATGAAGTATTCAGAGTCTACGTTCTCAACGAGTTGTGTGTCCCACGCTACAGTGGGATAGCACATCTAGTAACATTAATACTTAAGGAAATATCTCATCTAGAGTGACAGAAACATTACTCTTACAATGAACTGACCCCTATTAACATCAATACTTACTGGGGACGTGCTATAGCATTGGTAACGCGGTTATCGGACATATTTATGGTATCTCAAAACGTCCGATACGAACCGTTACTCTTAAAATTATTAATTTTACAAGCGTGCTTAAAAATGTCAGCATTAACATTCTACCTAACGATTGAGACACTCTTTCTCTCTCTCTCTCTCTCTCTCTCTCTCTCTCTCTCTCTCTCTCTCTCTCTCTCTCTCTCTCCTCTCTCTCTCTCTCTCACACCACACACACACACACACACACACACACACGCACTATCGACAAGTCCCTTTGACAGCCAGTAACTAATATAACAGGCCAAGTAATGAATAATGACATCATTTAGGAGGAATTAGAAATTAGATTATTTAATATTCCTATGTTATTTGCTTCCCACTGTGCAATATATTGAACGAAGTCATTATTTTAAAAAAATAAAAAACATAACGAAATTATCGGGGTTGTCCGAAAATTACGTACTGGTACCTGCAAAATTTATGGTATCGTCCCATATTTAGTACGTAGAAAAGGATGTCACCTATTAACATTACTTACAATGTCGCTTATTGACATCAGTACTTACAATGGGTTTGAGTTGGCACCTAGGAGCACCAGTACTCAATCAGGCATGGCACCTAGGAATAACAATACTTACGGAGGAATGGCACCTAGGAACATGGAACCATCGAGGACACCGAGGTTAACATCCTTCTCAATATCTATGAGATCTTCATCAGAGTTAACGACAAGTCGCAGCTGGTGGTCGTAGATATCAACAAGGAGCTGCTGCCAGCTGCCGGTGTTGAGGGGCCGCCTGGTGGAGAGGCGACTGCGGTGGAGCTGATTGCGGAAGCTGTACATGAACTCAATCTCCTTACCTGGATCGAAGAGAGTAACAAATGAGTTATTCTACTCATGTGGAAAATGAAAATGAAAGGTAATCAGGTACATAAAATTCGCTTTATGAAGACAATCCCCTAAGGGAAGAATTTGTCAGAGATCACAATGATCCGATGACAAATATAATAATTTTTAAGGTCGTGGCGCAGGATACACAGGGTACAGGTGTGTGAATGTTACCTGTAGCCACATGACTATATACGGGTTAACCTCAACTTTGTACCGACAAAGAAAAATCAGTACAATCCTGTAGCTTATACCATTCCTGGACGTGTTTTTCTTAACGATAGAAAATGTAAAGCTGGAAGCAGAGTCATATCAAGCTTTGAAATGGATTTTAAAAATTGCTTAATTTATGATATATCAATTTCCCATTTAATATTTTTTTGCGTATTTTCCTAAAAGCTTATCTTTTTATTTATTTTTTTTTGTATAACCGGTACAGGTTTAATGTTTGTTAATTACTTGCATAATTATTACATTCTCGGTGATGCAGTAAACACACAAGAGTTAAATAGCAACTATAAGAAGAAAAAAAATAGGTTTAACTTATAAATACCAAAGTATAAACAAGGAAGGGGCAAGCGGCTGACCTCCAACGAGAGAGATCTTGAAGGAGGCGTGGCTGGGGTGATAGGCAGGTTGGTAGGCAATGACCGCCCTCCTGGAGGTGGTCTTGAAGCTGAGGAAGAGACTACCTACTCGCCAGGCCGGCACCTCCAGGTAGCTGCCGCCCCTCCGGAAGTACAGTCTGTCCTAAGGTGTGAAGTAAGAGACCGTACCTGAGAAATACTTCAAATGTAAATCAATAAAGAGAGAATATTAGCTATAAGGAAGACAGGTTTAAAATTTAAGTTGGTTTAGGTTCAGGAGAGCTATATGAAGGCCTTTCCTCATCTTATAAACAAACTTGTTTACTTAAAAACGATCCATTTAAGATTATTATTTTTTTATTGCTCTGAACACATTAACGATACATCTGTACTAAGCAAGCTCTGTCCATGGTGATGTGTCTTCTGTTAGTGCTTCATCACTCCACAACCTTTGTAACTTGCTCAGCTATCAAACTGGATCAGTCCGACCAATTGTACTCTGTAATCTTGATACGCCCACAGGATGGTATAGGGGCATAATAAACATATTAAACTATTAAACTAAGCTCTCAGCACGTTTCTACAATAAAGATAGTTTGTTTTATTTATCATCTTGTCGGTACTGTATACCACTGAAATAACAGTACTCTTGCTAAATGACTACGTATCTACCATCAGTTCAGGGGAAAACCTGACTGAGAAAAATTAGTCTTGTCTCATACTTAGAGGACATTGGATCTAACCTTCATTACCCCTTGCATTAAATGTCTCACACGGGTTTTCTGCTTCTTATATATACATTATTACTAAACACATAAGTGTACCATGATTGCTACTAAATGAATTAATGCGAACTTGAAGACATTTGAGAAGAAAATTTAAAAATGACCAGAGGGCTTTGACCAAATGGTAATGTACATCTAGGCTACGTATTTAATATTCTTCACACATTTTAACTTCGTCTTAACTTTCTCCTTTCTTCCCAAACGTAACATGATCAACCCCACACTTCCATTCCTTTCCAGTTGCCCCTATTGATTACCCCTTTCAATTATCAACCATAACCCCCCTTCCTCTGCTCTCCCACCACAAACCATCCACTCAAATCCATCCCTTCTCTATCCTTTTTCTCAAATGACATACCTTCCTTAGTACACTTGAGGGGATCAAGCGTGATGATTCCTTCAGTGTCCTCACGGGTTCCTGTTGGGTCCTGCAGGAAGACCATGGTGGTGATGGGCAAGTGACTGGGGTTTGTGATGATCGCCTTGTCTTCCCTTGGCAGTCCATCACCCACGTCACAGTTGCACGGCACCTCCTTATTGTAACAAGATTTCATATCTGTGGAGACAATTAGGTGAGTGCAGACAGTGTTCGTTTAGCGATTAGCGGAAGAAGGAAGAACGGAAGAGTCGAACCCCCATTGCTTCCCTGTACTGAATGACCTAGATATAGAGAAAAGTACTACTATAATAATTATAATAATAATAGTAATAATAATATAATTATTATTAATCTCTGTGGAAACCTAGTGAAAGATTTTAACTACAGCCTTTTTTCCCTTGAATCGTTTGTGAGTTATTCTATGTTAACATTAATTTAAATGAGCCAATAACACAGACAAGTTAAAGTGAAATTCTTAATATTATTTTTTAATGAAAAATTACCAGCTTGTGAAACAGATTTAACAATCTAGTTTAGAAGTGTGGCAATGTCATAATTTGGCGATAAGTTACAAAACAAGGTTTTATTCGGACACTGTTTGGCTGTGTATAAAGTTTGATTATGTTCTACACACAACAAACTTTGTTCCATTATAATAACTTGTTCTGCAGAGTTTTTCTTTTCGACAGTGTTGGCGGTACGCCACTGGAGTCCGCCAAGTACTTGACTGAGGCAACAGTGGTAATCTAGTCACGGAAGGATAATCAAGAAGGATATTTCTCAACTCCTGCCCATCAAGAGGGATTACCTTTGAGATAGTGAGGGACTCTGGATAAAAAAAAAATACAGCTACCCTACACTTCCTTGGCGCATACAGGATTAACTTCCGTATGACTCAACATGTTACAGCGCATCTCCATAAAAATACTAATACTCAGCTACTGCTAACCTTTGCATGTACACAACCCAGGAGTTTTGGAACCAAAACTGGTGATGAACTTGTCAGATGGAGAAGAGAACCAGGTCCTGGTAGACAGCTTCAGGGGCGACCTTCGACAGTTGTATCTCATCTGAAAGCAGATAAATCCACCCTTTATACTCTGCAGCATTAATATTTCATGTCAAAATTCCCTTTAAGTCCATATATAAGGTCTTGAAAACCTTAAGTCATACTTGAAAGACTATCCTCTGAACAATATACTAGTCATTCTTGGGTATTCGTTAATTAGAGTGGTAGTTTCGAGGCCACCAGTGGCTTCATCGTCCATAGGTAGGATAGAAATGTTGAAGAAACTGACGAAAGGAAAAAATGAGCAATTCAGTCCCCCAACCTTGAGTCGGAGTTGGACTGGGATGATAACCTTTCTCCTCGTCGTTAAGTTCTCCCCGTAGGACTGATGAGCATCCACTGGTCGACGCGAAAAGTTTTAATATATAGATACAATAATTGGCACCATGCTACTAATTTTATCAAATGTCGTTCTCTAAAACATGCCTTCTTACATTTAACTACTTGACTGTTCTGAAATTTATTACTAGACTTTCCTTATAGAGTTTAATTCGTCTATTTGTTCCATTGTATTTTATGTAAATAATATTTGAAGCTTAGAAAGGCAAAGAAAAATAGCAATCTCCCAAAATGTGCATCGAACTCTGAGAGACGAGTTAGGACTGGCTGATGATAACTTTTAGCATCTCGTCCGTAAAGTCTCTGTAGGACACCTTGAGCTGCAGGCTATCCATCCCTGGCCTCCGCACGTCCTACAAGAAAAAGTTTTAATGTTATATTAAATAATTTATATTTACTCTGGACTCAGTCCATAGCTACTATATTTTTTTTGATCGTATATTAAAAACTGCCTTTTCTTGGCCATTTAAACTAATGCTACTGTTGTGAAGATTTTATTACTAGACTTTACCATTAATAGCAGTGTAACCGTCTATTTGCTTCTCATTATATTTACTCAGTAAATTAATATTCTGAAGCTTTAAACCAGCATGAAGATATCAGTCATAAAAATTCTTACCAGTCTGTGATCGAACTCAAAACTGAGTGTTAACTGACGTTAGAGACATAAGCCAAAAGACATCTGTATTACGAACCAAGTGACATTTTTCTGACATTAGCAATATTTCACAACAGACTCCTCCATAACATGAGAAATTTTCCCTAAGGATTACAGTACACCCGAACCAATACTCACGGAATTTTCTGGCAGGTTGTGTTCCACAATAGTAGTTGTTTCCAATGAAAACTCACTGAAGGAACACTTGACGAAAGCAGGCGGCAGAGGACCATTCCCATCTACATCAATCTTGTAGATACCTGAGATGTTGTAGCCAATCTGTCTGTACTGCTCACACGACTTCCTGTACAGTGCTGTGGAAAGATTTTTATGCCACTGTGAAAGATTTTCAGTGCTTATAAAGTCATACAATAAAAATACAGCATTTGTCCAGTAATAACCATTAAGAAATAATCATAATCATATAGCAAGTGATTAAGTTACCTGTATAAAGTACATCTTTTATCAACACTTACAGAAGTGACACGTCTTGCCAGTGTAACCAGTCCCTGAGCAGTTGCACTGAATTCCGTCCTTCACTACAGTACAAGTGGCTCCGTGTTCACATGAACCAGGCCTCTCACATGGACCCAGCACCTGCACACGTCAACATATGAAATAAACTAAATCTTGTATATAAAGAAAATCGATTGTACTATAAGACTAAGAAAATTTAATTAGAGAATATCAAATTACTGGAATTTTACTCTGTACGTGGACTGTTGTTATAATTTTGTGAAGCAGTAAATTAAGAGGGTCATACAGACTCTGGAATTACGTAAAAAAAAAGGAAAAAAAAAGGCTACGATTCAAGTATTCGTGTCGGATATTTTTTTCTAGAGAGAAAATATATTACGAAGCCTATTTGTCTATAAACTGTATACGATTTTTTTTATAAATCAAAGACTTTTCACTTGAGACTTTCAGGAGGAACAACAAAGTTGTAGCTAAAAACATCCAGACCAAAACATTTTAGCTGACACAACGGGAATAAATTACTTTCAGCTGCAACTTTTTGGGCTCTTAAAGCACCTGCATGGAGCCAAATTATTTTACTTTATTCATAAAGAAGCACTAAACACGGGAAATTATGCAGGACCTAAGAAAAGGTATGTGATTAGGATTGGCTCAATACCTGGGTATCAAAGAAAAACCGACCTGGCAGTTGTCGAAGGTGACATCTTTGCTGACCAGCGGGGTACCCACGATGGATCGTATGTCAACTGTTTCTCCTCCCACCTCCACCTTCCTCAGACACCCTATGAATCCTGGAGAATATCTTTAATATTATATTCGCGGAGAAGTGCTAAACCCAGTGGGAGTCATACAACACCTGGGCAATGCAAGGTAATTAGGTTTAATCTAGGAAAGGAAGGGTAGTTCTCATTCCTTAGATTAACAGCCCCTCATCAGTACGTGCGGGGATGGATATGCAGTATAAGAAACATTAATATCAACACAGACTTGGACACAGTATCACTGTCCAATAACACAAGTGTTTCTTATGACCAGTTTAGAATACTATACTTTCATTTTTTTTGGGGGGGGGAACTAAGTAATGACAGGTGATAACAACAAACACAGACACTTCTTAAGAGCGAAGTTATCACCTGGGAATTCCTTGAGGATGCTGGCGCCGATGTTGATGTGAGAGGAGAAAACCATAGTCCCAGGCATCTTCTTGGAGGCTGTCATCTGGTTCACTCTCATAATGATCAAGTCATTCTCGTAACGAATCTCCATCTGATCGACATTCGTAAAGTTTAGTCTAACGAACACCGACAACCACATGACAAATAAATGTCTTAAAGAATCAAAACAAGATAATTTTTATAATTAAATTCATGGGGATGGGGGGGGGAGAGAGAAGTGGAAATACTCTACCCATTGGATTCATACAGCACCTGAAGGAATTGGGGGGAATAAAAGAAGCGAGAATAGATCATTTTATAATCAAGAACTCAACAAGAAGAGAAGCGAAGACTTGTAAGAATATGGTTTATGTTTAAACATTTATTTGTCATCCATATATGCATTTATGTAATAAGATCACAGTAAACAGGTAATATCACAATATGCAAAACAACCACTGTGAAGAAATTGTGAAATTCGAAGTGCTTTCGTGATTTCTCACATTATCAAGGACCTTGATAATGTGAGAAGTCTCGAAACCACTTTGAAATTCACGAGTTTTTCACATTTGTTGTTTTGCATATGTATTTATGTAACTAAATCAAGGTGCTTCTTTTTCATTAATACATAGTACAGTCATTAAGAATTTCTCGTGCTGATTACACCTCACATTGGTCAAAAAATGTTTATTCATTACTATTAATATATAAATGAATTACAAATGAACTACGAAACATCAGAAAAAACTCACATACTGCCAGTGGTCAATCTTAATTCTGCCATCGGGTTTAAGGTGAACAATGTTGTCGTGAACGTCAAAATACACATAGTTCTCATCGTGATGAATCTGTCGAAAACGGAGGAGGAAGGAAATATTAAGAACATATGAAAAAAATGAGCAATGTAGTAAGCCTAGTGGCCCATGATAAACACACCTACACTACTCACTCAGCAAATACCTCTTATATGTTAATGATTCAACTAATCGCTTTCATGTATTTGTGAATCAGAAAATATTCACTTCCCACACACACACATCAGTTACTCAGAAGTACTCACCTCCCACTCACTCCACGTGTTGAGAACGTACACGTAGCCCGAGGCGACGACACTTCGAGATATGGAGGGCCTGAAGGATATTAAAATCCGGTAGTTCTCAGGGTTGGGGTTCGTTAGCTTGATGCTAGCGCTCTCTGTCGACAGAGTGACTTGCACCATATCTTTCTGTGGGGAAGAGGAGGTCAATATGCTTGCTAAGAGGCTTGGAGGAGATAAATAAAGACGCACGCGATACTATGCTCTCTCTCATCACTGTGTCCGGTTGGTCATTCAAGTTTAAGTGTGTCTTACCTTATTGCATTTGGAGTCGAGAGGAGGCTGCTGGCTCATGCCGATGTAGCGTGTAGACTTGTTACCCTCCTTCAGCTGCTGTAGGATGCTGATGTCGTTGAAGAAGACGTTCTTCAGACAACCCATGAAGGAGTTGAGGGACCTCAGACCTGACGAGGTAAGTGAATAGGAGGAGGGTCAGAGGTGTTTGTGCACAGACATGTGATTCGGAGGATGGAAAAGTTGTGTCTTAGAGTAGGAAGAAGGGACTGATAGAGAGGTACTAGTGTATAAGGATATCTAGATTAGCTAATGTACAAAGTTTATGGAGTATGAAGTGTATGGCGTTTACAGGCTACATGTACAGGGTATGAAGTATACAACTTATTGATTGTACTGGTTATAGAGGGGCAAGTTATAATGTATATGATTTGGAGTGCGCCTGTAGTTTACGTTGAGAGTGTATAGAGTGTTGAGTACATAAAGCATGAACTATACAGTTATGGAGTGTACATGTTTTGCAGTGTGCTATTACGGAGTGTACAAACGAGTTATGAAGAACACATGTAGCTCTCAACTCACCCGGTGTATAGCACGTGTCCATGCAGGAAGCTTGATCGAGGAAACGGTTGTCATTGCCGCCACAGCCAGAGTAGTTGAAGGCGATGCAGGTGGCCGACTGAACGTCGTAGTAATAGCGTTGCTGAGGTGGCTGCTGTGGTTGGCATTCTTCCTGCTGTAGTTGCTTCTCCTCCTCCACTTCCTTGTGTGTGCCCTGGTCCTTAGGTAGCCCGCATACTGGAGGGATACACAGACACACACAAGGTGTTCATACAATGGTGTTATGCTGGTAATTTGCATGAGCAGGCAAGCGAAGAAGCATATACCCTCTCACACTCGTACAAAAACACAAACTCACACACACAATAAGATAGAAGGAGCAAGATATTCCTACTTGAAAAATAAAAGTAATTACTAAAAGCCATGGAGAAGACAGTGAGAGACCTGGAACAAGTAATAAGGGGAGCTAAAAATGAAAGGTAGAAAGGTTTAGTAGGTGATGAAGGGGTAAGGAAAAATCATAGAATCTCAAGATGCTTACGCTTATCAACACGACACACATGAGGAAGGAGTTATATTGATTCGTAACAAACAAATCCAGGGACTTACAACGGCTGATACCCGGAGCGTTGCCTACGTAGAAGTCTGGGTCGAGATGCAGGTAGTGGACCTCCCCGGGGATAATGAGTGTCTTTTCCAGTTTGTCGTCCAGGTATACCTGAGTGGACAGATATGGAAGATTCAGTCATATGCAACTCATGTAGGTTAAAAACAAATTCTAACTTGTCTGTTCGTGTTTATATATACCTGTACACATGCAAGCGTGCTAGGACGTGAGAATACATTAAATATAGCAAATAATTAACAATAAACACAATAAATTATGAATACAAAACAATAAGTGAACACTAGCACAAAACAGACCGTCGTGAGAATAGTCATTAAATATTGTATATATGGGCTTCATATAGGGCCTTCTTAAGCAAACTCTAAATCATGTAGCTTGTTTAAGACAATATCAGTGTTAAGTCCAAACAACACTATATTATTTTCTGTCTTGTTTCTGCTTTGTTTATTGTTAATTATCAGTAATCAACATTCCAAATTATCAGGAACAACCATAAGAAATCATCAAGAAACATAATAAATCATCTCCACTTCTAGTGGATATTTTAGCTCTGAAAGTTCGTATTATTTATTGTTTTAACGATCACAAAAATGCAAGGGTGAATTGCAGCCTTAATAACCCGTGTGCAGTCCATAGGCGTTCAACCTAATAAACTAGAAAGACACGTGAGCAAACACTAGAACATAGACAATGTTCGGTCCTGGGAACTTGATCACTTCTAACTTGATCACTTCTCTGGGTTAGAAATAATTAATGTCGCAGGAGCGAAACGTTTTCTGCTATATATATCCTAGTTTTTGCTTACGTGTCTTTTTAAACCAATTTATCGGTATAAAAAGATCACCACCCAATAAACTAAGATAAATAAACTAAACTTTGAGGCACTTACTAGAGTTTCTCGTAACGAGCTCACCTTAAGTGTCTCGTGGTGGTGGACGAGAGTGAGTGTGTGCCAGTGTTCGAAGACCATCCTCTGCCCCACCTCAGCGCTCACTGCCCCGCCTCCGAGATCCACCTCCACGTAAATGTTTCCGGAGGAGGTGATGGAGGCTCCAACGTACTGCTTCTCCGGGTGCTCGGCCGTGGCGTGGAAGAGGATCGAGTCGGTGAACGTAGTCTGAGGAAGTGACAAACGGTTGGGGTGCAGAGCTTCTCTCTGTTTTTTGAGTCATAAATCTGAACTATTAGCGATCTCCTTATTTTAATATTCTCCTCCATTTATTTCATTTCTATTGATTTTGTGACTCTCAGTGTCTTGATTTTTTAATAATTTATTTTTCAATGTATTTCTAAAAAGGAATACAGTTCTCATTTTTAAGCTCTCTCTAGTTTTCTCTTTCAAGTTTCTTAAACTTGCATCATTACTATATTCTATGTTATTTTAACCCTTCTTGTCTTTTTCATTAAACTCCATTAACCTCTTCCACTTTTTAACTCTACTGAATCTTAACTGTTTCACTCAGTTTACTTTTACTTATAAAATAAACATTCGGCAAGACTGCTGATACAGATAAAATCCCGGAAGCGCAATATGTAAAATCTTCCTATTGTAAGTAAATATTTATCCCTAACTTGATATTCCCAGCAGAGTAAATATATATATTACCCTTTTTTCATCATCCTTCACTGCCATGACCTCTGACCTGAACCGACCTTGAAATCGATGGAGATGAGGTCGTTGTAGGAGTGAACGCGGTCCATCCACTCGTAGAGGCGGTGGACCACGTAACCATCACTATGGAGGGTCAGTATTGGCGTCTCTGTCAAGTCGATAGGTTAGGTTAGGTAGGGTTTGTCAGGAAACAGTACATGTTGCCTTAGTCATATGATGAACCGCAGTTGGAGCTTTCGGTCAGATGACCGAAGCCTTCAGCTGGCTTACCCCTCCACTCCTTCGAAAATTATAGTTAGGACTCATTATTCCTTGTACACATTACACCTTATATCAGCAGTTGTGAACTGTTATTCCTATTTTCATGTATTTAGAGGGATGAATTTTGGGAGGATCATTGCGGACAGAAAATGTTACGAGAGTGAAACAAGGACTGCGGTTTTGTTTTTAGTGATTTGAACCAGAAAATATTGCATAATGTTGATTTTCACAATTATTGGGAAGCGCAAAATCCGTAGGAGTTACACAGCCCGATGCGTAGTATATACAAGGCAATAATTCTTTTATGGAATCTTAACCATTGTTTTCAAATGATAGAGATTCTCTGAATGATCAACAAACTTTTAGTTTATATAAATAATATAATAACAATTATGACAGCAAATGAGACTAATAACTTCTTAAATGCACTTTAAAAACGAGTGAAGTAAATAAATAATTATATAAAGTTAAATCATTAGCTCCAAACTTACTTGTAATATTGAATAAAAGATATCACAGAACAAGCTAAATTTGAGACAGCATTTCAATGGAGGCTAAGTAAAATAAAGCAAAATTTACAAACTCTGAGTACCTGGGTTGGAGCAGCGAAGTCCGTCCTGGCCGCTGCCGAAGCAGCTGCAGGTGCTGTGGTCGAAGTGCTCCACGCACTGGGACGACGGCGAACACAGGTTCTTAAATCGGTCATTGCAGCTGCGTGGAGCAGACAGTTAGTATGGAGGATGGTAGAGGCAGTGTGTAGGGCGGTGTGATATAGACAGATCAAGCAGAGTGAGTAAATAACATTTTACCTGAGTAAACCTGAAAATTCTTGACACGTTAAGATAAACTGATGTGTTCAATAATAACCCACACGGAAACAAAAACCCAGAAGATTAATTGGTCTGTATATTTCGATCCTCTCCTGGGATCCTCTTCAGCAGAAGAGAATCACAGGAGGCGATAGAAATATGCAAATATTCTGAGTTTCTGTCTCCATGTGGGTTATTATTGAGCAATGACATGTGTTCTGACTTAGTTATCCAAAAAAATGATGTTCTGAGGTGCACAGTCTCTTTCTATCTATCTCTCTCTCTCTCTCTCTCTCTCTCTCTCTCTCTCTCTCTCTCTCTCTCTCTCTCTCTCTCTCTCTCTCCAGATATATAATTAAAACTCATGTTTACCATTGTTTTCTTACTTGTTACGGCAGTGTTCCGTGACTCCGTTGTACGAGGTGGTCCTTAGCACCTTGATGCGTGACATGTCTGCTTCAGTGTGTCCACTAGCCAGTCCCAGTTTCCTCATACACCCGTGGAACGGCACTATCCCTACCACCACATCCTCACTCTCAAGGTGACCCTTGGGCACTCCTGAAGTGGTTTAGGACAGTAAAAATCAAAATTTTTTCCCTATAATGAAAATAAATAACTAAAGTTATTCTTATCGGATTTGATGTAACATTTACAACCTATTATAGGTAGACGTGCTCTCTCCTAAAATCTTGCCATGGCCCACCTAAAATCTTGCCATGGCCCACCTAAAATCTTGCCGTGGCCTCCCCTAAAATCTTGCCGTGGCCTACCCCTAAAAATCTTGCCGTGGGCCACCTGAAGTATTGCCGTGGCATCAACGAAAATCTTGGCTCGGCCTCCCCTAAAATCTGGCCGTGGCCCCAATGGAGGACATGGCCTCCCAATCTGAGACCCACTACTCTAGGAGACATACAGTTCCCAGTGAATGAGAGGTAATAAGGTTTGGTCCAAGGAAGGGGCGTAAAGCTGCAGTACCTTGCATCACGAACTCACTTCCAGCATGAAGGCCACTCCTACCTCTCACCTTTAAAGACTCCTAACTAGAGAATCATCC